GGGAGCTCAGGGCTGGGATAACAGGGGCAGGGGGTCGGGATTCAGGGACACTGGCAGAGCTCGGGGAGGAGGGCGGAGCTCAGGGCTGGGATAAGAGGGGCTGGGGGTCCACACTATGCGAGGAGCTCTGAAAGAGCCGTGAGGGGGACACCGTCACACACCAAACCAAGGGCGGCTAATGCAGCCCAACCCCCGTCCGGTCTGCAGGGCCCCACGGAGCTGGGATCGGGATTGGGAGCACAAGGAACCACCGCCCAGGTCCCGGCTCTCTGCCTCCCGTGTGTGCAGTCCCAACCCCCTTATCACAGTGCGACTGGCCGATAAGCTAAATCAGCCCTTGGCAAACACCTCCCCTGCCATTTAACCAGCCTCCGCCCCACAGGCTGGGTGAGAGGCGGCTGGCACCACCAGGCCCCACGATCCCCCAACCTGCTAGCCCAGCAGCAGAGGCCGGGGGATGGGTGGGGGTGGGTGGATAAGTCCCAGGCACAGAGGAATGGGGTTAAATTGTGTGGCCTACCCCCCATTCCATGGCCTAGCTGACCTGGCATGCTATGCCCCCACCCGCAGGAGCCAGCCCCCACAACCTGCAGTGGAGAACAAAGCAGTGGGGCTGCTGGGTGCCCCCCCCCCCCCCCGGCTGTTAGAGGTCTGAGAGCTGCGGGAGCGGAGTGAAGGAGGTACGAGGCTCCCCGGGAAGGGCAGTGGCAGTGCTCAGTGCCAGGGAACAGGTGGCTTGGGTGGGAATTTCCCCTCCCGAACTCCCCTGTGCCAGCGGGCCACGGGGCCAGTTCCCTTTCGCAGGGGTGTTTGCTCACAGGGACTCAGCCACCTGCGGAGCCGCTAACCCTTCCCTCCCCAGACATCCCTGGGCCTGACAAAGGGAGGATGTGCCGGTCTGGGCAGCGCCGCCCTGACCTGGGTCCCTACAGAGCCGGTGCAGGAGACGCTTCCACCAGAACTCAGGAAATGCCTCCCAGGAGCGACCTGCACAGTAAATAAACTGAACTGGGAGGAACGTGGAAACGCCCGGGCTGGGAAACTGGTCACGGCCAGGGCGCTTTGCTTCTTTCAGGCTTTGCTCTTGTGCTGCTGGTGGGCTACAGGGCCAGATTCTGCCCATCTGTCTTACCTACATCTAGGACCCCCAGCGCTGTAGGATGTGAGCATCTCCCAATCGCTAACTATTGATTTATCCTCACCGCCACCCTCCGTGAGTTAGGGAAATGCAGTTACGCCCATTGTACAGATACCACCTACCGCTTACATAGCACTTTTCATCGGCCGATCTCCAAGGCTTTACAGAGGCGGGCAGGACCGCTATCCCCATTATGCAGATGGTGAAACTGAGGCACAGAGATGGGAAGTGACACACTACAGGTTACCCAGCAACCCGGTGGCAAGGCCAAGAAGAGAACCCAGCACTGCTGGGTCCCAGTCTGGCACTGCACCCACTAGGCAATGCTGTCTCCTCTCTAGATAGGAGCCTGCGGCCCAGAGAGATTAAGTGACTCACCCAAGGTCACACAGGAAGTCTGTGGCAGAGCAGAGAATTGACTCCTCACCTACAGGCCCATGCCAGTGCCCTAACCACTAGCCTTCCACTGTATTCACACAACCTTCCTCATGCTGGACACAATGTCTCACACAGTCAGCGGGTTCATTGGCCTCAATTGTGCAGTAGGACACTACTTAGCGGGAAGTTACAAAAACAAAGTATCAAAATCTGGCTCTAAACAGGGGAGCCATAGCTTTAGAAGTTGTGACCTCGCTATAGTCTCCCAGCCCAGCCCCCCACGTACATCCTCCTCCACCTCCACCAGGCATCTGCTAACGAGGGCATCCCAACAGAACAGATGTTTAAATAATCATTAAATAGCTAATGTATGAATGGGAATAACATTTACCGGGGGACCGGGAGGAGATGGTAAAATAACATTAGAATGAGTTCATCAGGGTCTCGAAAGAAAGAAAGAAAGCCTCACTTGTATCATGTGGAGAAGATGATGAGAGATTGTTACAGTGTTGCCAACTTTCTCAACACCTCAGGTTTCTCCAAAAGCTCCAGCTCCTGGAATCAGGGGATTAGGAGAGAATCTCTCTTTTTTTTTAAGTCATTTTCTAAACGTCATGCTTTTGGAGGAAAGGTTGAGCCCACCCCCCGCGTGCCCCCCCAGCAGCTCACTAACCAGGAGGCAAACCAAAAGCAGCGAAAATTATTATTTAAAAAAATCTCATAGTTTTTAAGCCAATCGTGTGATTTTTCTGGGAGGCCAGATTGAGCTTGAGGCTGGTGATCAGAGAGATCGATAGATATGAGAGAGACAAGAGGGGTGAGGCGATATCTTTTACGGGACCAACTTCTGCTGGTGGAAGAGACAAGCTTTCGCGAGCTCTTCTTCAGGGCAGGAAAAGGTACCCGGAGTGTCACTGCGAACTACAAGGTGGGACAGATTGCTAAACCCAAGGGCTTGACACACGTAGCTAGACCAATCAAATGCAACAGGTTTCACAAACAGTATGCCTGATTCTCCCCAGTCCTTGGCTAGTTGCCCCTCTGCTCCAGTCAGAGCTTTTCCAAATGCCTCAGGTTTGCCCCTGCTTGCAATTAATTCTCTGGATAGCTGATGCACTCGTTAACCCCTTCCTTCCTCTCCTCGCCTCCACCCAGCCACCCGTGGGAGCTGTCTTTGCTCCACGCTGCCATGCAGGCCACTTCCTCCCCTGCCCACCGGAGCATGAACGCCTGCCTCTGCGCTACGTAACCTTGTAGCTGCAGGGCCCCGGCCCTCTAACGTTCCCTGCCGCTTTCCTTCGGGCATCCTCGTCCCCGACCTCAGGCCATAGCACTGGGCCCCCAGGCCGAGAGGTGCTGGGTTGGTGACGCAGGAGAGGTGCGGGCAACGAGGGAATGTGGCCACATCTGCTCCTGGAGGTTAAGGAAATGGGGAGGGGCGGGGGGGGGGTATTTGTTTAGACTGAATCCTAGAAGGCCAGATGTTTTCCCCCTTCACCCTTCCTTCCTTCCTGGCCCTTTGCGGCTTGTTAGCTGGAGCCTCTTGCCGGGGGCAGAAATTGGCACTTGTCTGGGATCTGATGGATCTTTGGAGGAAAGAGTTTTGTTCCCTGGCTAAGGCAGTTCCTCTCCCACCGTCCTTCCCACACGAGCAAAGATGCAGAGAAACCTGGGAGCTGATCCTGGGGGGGGGGAATCTCAGAGGGGCCTGGGAGCTGATCCTGGGTGGGGATGGAGGAATCCCAGCTCCCACCTGCAGAGCCCAGTCTGGGAAGAACTTGTCTCGTTCACTTCCACACATGATTGGGCCCTTGACCCCTGCTCGGACTCAAGGCTGCCAGCCCTGCTTGCGCCGTTAGACACGCCCTGCCAGAGCTGTGACTACAGCCCAGGAGTCCTGGCTCCCCACCCCCATCCAGCTCTAACCCCTAGGCCGCGCTGCCTGTCGTGCTCTCTCCTTGCCCTTGTGAGAAGCGCTGATTTGGCTGCTCACTCTCCTTTCGAAGGTCGCCCGTTTATTGCAGCCCAGCCTTTAAACACGGTGCACGTCCCTGAGGACACGCCTGGGCAGCGCTCAGATCCTAGTGACGAGGGCAGGACAAGACCCCAAACAGAACAAAGGAGGCGCCTGCTACGGACGAGTCTTTTCCTCCAGCGACTGTGTTAATTTCCCCACGACTGGGTTTGTTGGTGCTGTTCAGATCCCTGATGCGGAGACGGCTGCTTTTCTGCGTCACGCCATACAGCGGAGGGGATGCCAACTGCCATATGCCCTGGCCTAGCAGCGCCCTGGAGGGCTTGTCACTCTGCATTAGGCTTTTCGGCATCAGACGCTCACGCTGAGAGGCAGGGACGCACTGGAGGGGAGAGGGGTGATTGCTCTGGTGGCCCTTGGGTGGTTTCACCCTGGGCAGAAGCCCAGCACAACACCACGGTACCACTACACCCATAGCTGGGAATCCCAGAATCCTTTGCTTCCTTGGCACGGGAGTAAGTGGGAATGCAAGTGGTGCCAAGACTGCCCGCCAGCCCCTTGCCCGGAGAGGTGAATTTCCCAGGCTTAAGCGGGGCCCAGCACTTACGCTGGTGTGAAATTTCACCCGAACAAGCAACCCCGCTCCCGACCCCATCCCCAAGTGCCTGTGACCCCACTCGCCTGACCCCACTGCCAACCAGATGTGACCTGGCGCCAAGCAATGGACCAGAACACGTTTGAGATGTGCCAGGCGAAACCCTGCGTGGCAAGCGCTGCCCAGTTAATCATTGACGAGGGTGAAACTAAATCATATCATAAGCAAACATTTTTCGAGCACTCAGTGGACAAAGGGGAAGAGAACAGAAACCCTTCGTGTTGCTGGCTCCAGGCTCGCGGACTATCTGATCCGATCCCGTTTTATTTATCTTTGGATACATTCGAGATAGCTTGGACCAGCCCTGCTCTCAACACCCTGTTACTCATATCTGAGCAACAAGGAGACCCAAAAGCAAATGGAAAAAACACGGCATTTAAAACAGATGCAAGGAAATACGTCCCTCCTCCACTAATATATAAAATTAACCCGTGGAACTCATTGCTACATGATATTATTATTTATTTAAATCGTGGCAGCAGGTCGGAGCCCCAGCCATGGACCAGGATCCCATTGTGCCAGGCGCTGTACAAACACTGAACAAAAACAACAATACCTAGCTCTTATATAGCACATTTCATAACATGCAGCAGGGCGCTCACACCACTCTGCCACATTCCCTGCCAGGCCACTGCACTTGCCCATGTCCATCTTTTGCTCCAGAACCTAACCTGACCCTGACTTTTATGGTTGCCTAGATCGCCTTAAAAAGTGAAGCAGACGAATCCAGCCACATCTGCCCACAGCCTGAAAGAGCAGATCGGAGAGATTTCTGAGCTTGCCCCATTGACCACAATGGGGTATTAACTCTGAAGCCTACAGATGGCGATGCCTACATGTCAACATTGTTAACCATTTATAGATTCATACGTCCTAAGGCCAGAAGGGAATAATTGCGATCATCTAGTCTGACCTCCTGTATAACACATGCCAGAGAGCTTCCCAAAGTAACTCCTACAGCACGTCTCTTAGAACAAATCTAAATCTTGATTTTAAAATGGTCAGTGATGGAGAATCCTCCACGACCCTTAGTAAATTGTTCCAACAGTTAATTACCCTCACGGTTAAAATATTACACCTTATTTCCAGTCTGAATTTGTCTAGCTTCAATGTCCAGCCATTGGATCATGTTAGCCCTGTCTCTGCTAGATTGAAGAGCCACTTAGTGAAGATTTGTTCCCCAGGTAGATTCAAGTCACTCCTGATCCTTCTCTTTCTTGAGCTAAATAAATGGAGCTCTTTGAGTCTCTCGCTCTAAGGCGGGTTTTCTAAGCCTTTAATCATTCTCCTGGCTCTTCTCTGATCCCTCTCCAATTTACCACCATCAACACTTCTCTGCTGCTAAAAGGAAGATGAGGACGGATCATGCTGCGAAGATCTGCACAACCTACGGTGAGTGACGGCTCTCAATTTTGGTGCCATGAGTGGACGGGGCTTAGGAGAATCCCTCCCCTTGTTTGTTTCCCAATCTGGCTCCTGAGGGTACCTCTGGCACCTAGACACCACGGTGATGGGCTGGTTAGTAATGCCCTGATTTAGCCCGAGCAGGTTGGAGCCTCAAAGTCCCTATCACTCATCTGCTCCACCCGCAGCCTGCGCCATCCTAGACTCACCCACTCCTCCACGTTGGGGCCCTCCTGGAAGGCGAGTGGCTTGTCCCAGTAAATATTGGGCTTCCCAAACTTCCAGATCTTGTGGCGCGTCTTGTGAGCAAAGAAGCAAATCACGCAGAGAAGAATGACAATGAAGAACCCACAGACAATGGCGATGGCCTAGAAGAGAGGGGGGAAAAAAACACGTTGGCCAGAGAGTCAGGGAAATTACCCTTATGCCATCCATCAGCTTGGTTCAAACCCAGCACCCTTTGCACTGCAGCACTGACCTCTACCGCTCAAGCTAAAGGAAGAACTCCATCAGCTCGTAGCAGCAGTAGGTTGTCATCCCCTATGTGGATTAGCCACTAGCAGGAGATGAGACACCCCCCGCCCGCCAGCACAGTTGGAGAAGTCATTCCAGTCCATGTGAAGGTGCCAAAGGGGGCAGGAAATGAAATGAAAGGGAAAATAATTGTTACATCAAACAAAAGAGTCCTCCCAAGGAGGAGAGAGTGAGACGGATGAGGAATTTCCTGGACTTGGGATGTAGGAGGAGGAAGAGACGAAAAGGCAGCTTCTCGGGTTTGCGAGGGCTTTTGGAACTGGCTCCTTCACCAGAGCTGCCAAGCGACAGAGGACAAACCCGGCAGCATTCAAAGGGGGAACGGTAGGATATTGGCTGTGCTGGCAACAAATCGAACCAGCTTCCCCAGCTCTCCCCGGCACAAAGCAGAATCACACGGGAGGCTGCCGCTGCTCTGCGCATTGCTATTATCTCACCCTGTGTGGAAGTTAGCAAAACAATCGCGCCTGCAAAGCTTTCTGGGGTTTGATTCTCCGGGAGTGGGCTCAGCTCACGAACCAAAAATACACGAGGCGATGCCAAAGCCCTTTGCAAGCTACAGGGATCCAATGCCCTCATAGTTTACAGACTGGGAGATTGAGGCACACGGCGAGAGAGAAAGCGACTTTCTCAGGGCCCCACAGAGCCAGGAAAAGTGCCCAGGAGTCCTGACTCCCCGCTGCATGCTGAAACAATCAACAAGCTTCTAAGGACACATGGCTGAGAGCAGCAGAAACAGGGGCTGCTTATTCTCTGTATGATTTTTGCTCAAGAAGAAGGGGTTCAAATCCTCGCAGTTTGGTGTGCGTGAGAGAGGGAGATTCCCCAGAATTTCCCACAGGGCCCTGGTAAGAATGTTGAAGTAGATAGAAATTAGACAAGGGGGGAAATGACAGATTAGGTCCCATCTGGTCCATGCATCAGGCAGGTGCAGCACAGCTCCTTGCTTGTTTTTGGTAGGCAATCTATAGCAAAGTACATAGCTCTACGTGACTCTGGATTTCAGGTGGCTGGAACGCAGCAGGCTGGGCTAATCTTATCCTGAGACGCGGTGGTATCGGCAGCCCCACCCAGCTCGCTGCTTAAATCGCTGCAGTTGTTTCTGTCCAGACCGAAACTGGCTTCACCGAGACCTTGTTTGTTAATATTCTGCTGCCTTCTATCCGACAGACAGCCTAGAGCTCTGACTCCGGAGCCGGGGCCAGCAAGCAGAGCCTTGTTAGCTGCACGGTATCGGTAAGAGAGCAGGAGTCCTCGTGGCACCTTAGAGACTAACAAATTTATTCGAACATAAGCTTTCGTGGGCTACAGCCCACTTCATCGGATGCATAGAAGGGAACATATAGTAAGAAGATCTATATACATACAGACACCATGAAAAGGTGGAAGTTGCCCTACCAACTCTAAGAGGCTAATTAATTAAGATGAGCTATTATCAGCAGGAGAAAAAAAACTTTTGTAGTGATAATCAAGATGGCCCATTCCAGACCGTCGACAAGAAGGATACTTAACATGGGGAAATAGATTCAATTTGTGTAATGACCCAGCCACTCCCAGTCTCTATTCAAGCCCAAGTTAATGGTATCTAGTTTGCAAATTAATTCTAGTTCAGCAAGGAAACTGACCAAGCCCAGCAGAGTAACTGAGCAGCAAATGAAGGCGATTTTTATAAAGCTGTTTTGCTCCGGGTTACATCCTGGGGGCTAGACTTGGACAAAGCACGTGGCTGGTGGGCTTGTGGTTAAAGCAGTGGGCTGGGACTCAGGAGACCGGCGTTTATTTCTGAGCTGGAAGAGGCGCTTCTGAGCTTAGAAGAAGGAAGGCCCAGTGATTAGGGCACTAGCCTACAGGAGTGGCACCAGGGTTTTTGCCGCCCTAGGCAGCAGCGCTCCTCCTCCGAGCATTCGGCGGCGGGGGTCCTTCCGCTCCGCGTCTTCGGGGCACTTCGGAGGCGGGTCCCGGAGCGAGTGAAGGACCTGCCGCCAAATTTCCGCCAAAGACCTGGAGCGGAAGGACCCCCCGCTGCTGAATTTCCGCCGAGGACGGAAAAATGCCGCCCCCCAAATCCTGCTGCCCTAGGCGACCGCCTAGGGTCGCCTAGTGGAAGCGCCGGCCCTGCTAGCCTAGGACTTGGAAGACTTGGATTCAGCTCCCAGCTCTGCCACAGGGTCCCTGTGTGACCCTTGGTGAAGTCGTTCAGCTGCTCTGTGCCTCAGTTTCCCCTCCGTTCAATGGCAATGATAGCCAGGCCTTGCCTCCCAGGAGTGTGTGAGGATAAATCCATTAAATACTGGGAGGTGCTCAGAGACGACAGTAATGCGGGCTATACACGTATTTATGACAAATAGCTGGGCTACAGCCTCCCTCTGTTCGTCTGGCTGGGCCTCAGTTTCCCCCTTTGTAAAATGGGGTGAATGAGACTTCCTTGGTTTATTCAGACTGTGAGCTTTGGGGCAGGGCCTGTCTCTCACTGTGCGTCTGTGCAGCGCCTGGCACAAAGGGTCCCTGACCTCAGCTGGGATGACTAGGTGCTAGTGGACTGCCTACAACTCACCCCAACACTGGTCTAAGGGCAGCCTGCAGTGGACTCATCTGTCCTGGCAAACGAAGGCTGCTAGATGCTGCTATCGGCAAGCCCCGCGTAGCTTGGCAGAAACCTTGCTGCAGCCAATGGGGATACAGCCGGCACAAAGCCAATCTTCTCCATCGGCTTTCTCCCAGGACTTAGAGACCGTGACCACCCAACCCACTGGGGAACTGACTAAGGCCAAACCCAACGTTCAGCGACTGTCGGTGGCGCTCGGTTCGCAGCTGTAGAGTTTTAGCCTGCACGAATCGTTGCACCAGGACGGCACAAGGAGGGGAGAGGGGTGCAGAGCTCTGAGCTGCTCAGAACAGAGAGTTTGGAGAATCCCAGAAAATGGGGAGAGATGGAAAAGAGCCAGGAGATTGTCTAGTCCAGGGTTTACCAAACTTTCCCATAGTGGAGACCACAGCTTAAAAGAGGGATTGTCTTGTGGGCCACCTTGGCCTCCCCTCCCCCACCTCCCTTCCCTTTCATGATCCTATAACACCCCTGTCAACTAAAGCGATTGGCTGAATGGAAAAAATAACCACATGTTCTTCCTTCAGCTCCCTCTCCCACCAGCTCTGACTCTCCTTCAGCTGCAAAACCCAGGATGAACGAGTCAGCACCATGCGAGCAGCCAGCTCCCCCCTGGGCCAGAGGCCGGTTTGCAAACCTCTGGGCTAGCCCATCCA